GCCTTGGTCACTCTGTCGACGTCTGGGTCTCAGACGGATATTCAGCCTGAGACGTCTCAAACCATTGCTTCACAACGAGCAACTTCACAACCAGCCACCGATTCACCAAAAAAGAAGAAAGGAAACAAATGAAATAGAAACACCCCATCTACTAACTCTTTACCTTCAGAGGAAGTTCCTGTGGAGGTTCAAAACACCTATGAACCTCTAGATATGGAGACAAGCCCCTCACAGCCATCTCAGCATAAAGGGAATTCATCTCGTCCACGTTCTCCTATTGTACCCCTATGAGTTGCTCACATAATATTATACAATGGAATTGCAGAGGCCTTGGAAACAATTTTAATGATTTACAATTATTATCCCAAGATTTTAAACCATCAGCTTTTAGTTTACAAGAGACATACCTGAAAAGTACGGATAACTTTGATTTTCGTCAGTACAATTCATTTCATTCGTTTTCACCCCCAGGTGATAAAGCCACTGGTGGTGCTTCTATTTTGGTGAGGCAGGGTGTTATTCATAGCCCTGTCCCTCTTAAAAGCAATCTTCAGGCTGTTGCTGTCCGTCTTTCTTTACAAATAACCTTCACGCTCTGTTCTTTGTACCTTTCTCCATCTTCGGCTCTTCAGCAGTCCGATCTGCAGGATCTATTCAACCCTGCATTATAATGGGTGATCTTAATGGACACAACCCTTTGTGGGGAAGTACCCTTTTAAACAACAAAGGGAAAATCATCGAAGACTTCATTTCTAATAATAATTTATGCATCTTAAATGATGGATCAGCCACTTATTTACATCCTGGTTTTGGAACGTATTCTGCACTTGATCTGACTCTCACAGATCCAAATATATATAACGAATTTGACTGGTCAGTCCATGAAGACCTGAGTGGAAGTGACCATTTCCCCCAAATACTTTCAGCTATAAACCCGCATGATGATCCACCTGCAACAAGGAATTTTAATAAGGCCAACTGGTCATTATTTCAGAAACTGTGTACTGACAACTTGAAATCTGACTTTTTTAACAAAGCTCTAGATCCGATTCAATTATTCTCTGGTAAAGTGATGAATATTGCTGATGAAACTATTCCAAAGTCCTCTGCAATTCCACATATCCGTAAACCATGGTTAAATTATGACAGTAAACAGGCCAGAAAGAGTAGGAAGAAGGCAGAAAAATATTTTCGCCGACATCCTACAGTCCATAATTTCGATAAAGTTGTATTTTAAATGCCAAGGCTCGACGCCTTGGAAGAACAGAATTAATTTTAACTCGGACAATGGTGAAGATTATAATGAATTATTTTCACTGCATGAGTTATATACCGCCCTTGAGCAAGCTCATGATACAGCAACAGGGGCTGATAATATACACTATCAGCTCTTAAAATATTTACCTGAATCGTGTTTGGAAACACTTCTAAATATCTTTGATCAAATATGGACTTCAGGGAATTTCCCAACTTCTTGGCGTAATGCCATTGTTGTCCCAGTACCAAAGCCTGGCCGGGATCATACTGATCCATCAAATTACAGACCAATCTCTTTAACGAGTTGTGTTTGTAAAACCATGGAACGAATGGTAAACAATAGATTAACATGGTATCTTGAAACCAATAACCTTATAACAGATATTCAATGTGGTTTCAGGAAAAATCGTAGTACCATTGATCATTTGGTACGATTGGAATCCTTTGTTCAAAATATTCTAAGAAATATGCAACATGCTGTATCAATAGTCTTTGATCTCGGGAAAGCATACGATACAACCTGGAAGCATTGCATTGGATTTACATGATTTTGGTTTGAGGGGTCGTTTACCTGTTTTTATATCACAGTTTTTAAGAGACAGGCAATTTCAAGTCCGAGTGGGTTCAACCTAGTCTGACCATTACAATCAGCATCAGGGTGTTACACAAGGCAGTATGTTGTCTGTCACACTCTTTAGTATAAAGGACCGCCTCCGTGGTGTAATGGTTAGAGCGTCCGCCCGGAGAGCGGAAGGTCGGGGGATCGAACCCCCGACCGCGTCATACCAAAAGACGTTAAAATATGGTACTTGTTGGTCCCTGCCTGGCGCTCGGCATTAATGGGTACAACAAGGACTGGTCGGCTCGGAGTCAGTATAATGTGTCTGAGTTGGGTATTCCTGCTACACTGCGGCATGGTATCTCAGTGGGCAAGCACTATAAAACCAGCTTAAGTCTGGGCTAGTACAAGCAGCCGCACATACACATACACACGCATGCACGTCGTCATATGAGCGAAATATTCTCAAGCACGACGAAAAAACCCAATTTCACCTCACCTTTAGTATAAAGATAAATAGTTTATCAAAAGTTTTAAGTGATTCAATCAATGGATCACTTTTTTGGGATGACTTTAATATTTCTTGTCGCTGTAAACATATGCATACTATTGAACGGCAACTGCAGTTGTGTTTAAATTTTTTTTTAAATGTTGTCTTGAAAACGGCTTTAAATTTTCTAAATCTAAAACTAATTGCATACATTTTTGTAGGAAATATAAACCGCATAAAGACCCTGAACTGTTTTTAAATGGCTCTCCTATCAAAGTTGTTAAGGAAGCCAAGTTCTCGGGTTTAATTTTGACTCCCATTTAATTTTTCTTCCACATATTAAGTCCCTATAAACTAAATGCCTGAAGGCACTTGGCTCGTTGAAAGTCATTTCCAATTCTAAGTGGGGAGGGGATCAAGCTACCCTCCTACATCTATATCGATCACTGGTCCGTTCCAACCTTGATTATGGTTCCATCGTTTATGGTGGAGCCTGCAAAAGCAACTTAAAACTTTTAGATTCTGTCCACCACCAAGGTTAAAGACAGTGTCTTGGTTCCTTTAGAACCTCTCCTGTTGACAGTCTCTACGTCGAGGCCGATGAGCCATCTCTTACACAACGCGGTACCAAATTATCCTTGCATTATGTAACAAAACTATATTCTAACGACTCTAATCCTGCATATCACTGTATCTTTAATCCTCTTTATAAGAAGAAGAATATAATCAATTAAAAAGTAAATATAATACATATAAATCCTTATTTACAGATGGGTCCAGGGATGGTGGCGCGGTTGCTTGTGCCACTGTCATTGGATCCAGAACAATATCTTCTCGATTGCCTGATAACAGCTCTATTTTCACAGCAGAAGCAAATGCAACACTAACAGCTCAAATATATTAATAGACACCCCAAATATAAACAATATATTATATTTTCAGATTCTTTTTCTTGCCCTCAGGCTATAAAAAATCTCTCTTGTAAACATCCACTTTTCATTGAAATAATTGAATTGTATAATGATCTTGCAACTGGCCAATGTGTCATCGTCTTCTGTTGGTTACCCAGCCACGTTGGCATTTCTGGGAATACAATGGCCGATCTTGCTGCCAAGGCAGCACTCAACAAATCTGTGACACCACTTCTTATTCCATACTCTGATTACAAAGCTAGCATTAGAACTTACATTCGTGATCTGATGCAAAAGAAGTGGGACACCCAGGTAGGTATAAATAAATTACATGCAATAAAACCCTATATCGGTTACACCTACTTGGGTTGTCAGTCCAGATTTGAATAGGTCATCATACGACGATGTCGTATTGGCCACACAAGATATACTCATGAGTACCCATTGAAAGGTGAGGATCCTCCGTTTTGTATCCCTTGTGATGAAAGAATCAAGGTCAAGCATGTCCTTCTTGACTGTGTTGAATATTCCATCACAAGGGATATCTATTTCAAATCACGAACTGTTAAGGATCTTTCTACTGATATAAGTTCTCATTTAATTATTCCATTTTTAAAGGAATTAGATTTGTAACATGATTTGTAAATAGATACATATTTTATTATTGGTAGTTTAGATTAGTAACTGTGATTGTTAGGGGGTTAAAGTACTGTAAATCTATTGTCCTCCTGAGAGGGTACGTAAGTCCCGAAACATTCAAAGGAAATTAAAATTTACAAGTTGTTTTAAATGTAGCATTTTTGTCATTTTAATTTTGGCTGAATTTGACTTCAATCGCCAGCGGTTGAGGGGATGATATAAATCCAGCTGGGGTCCATGCAGTTAGCAAAAGTACTGTAAGTCCCCATGGTCCCTAGTATTGTGAACTACTTTCAGTTGTTGGCGATCTCTAGCCACTTTTTATATTGTATTGTCCAAATAGTGCTCTTAGTTTTAACTTTCCACACTAGTTTTAGTTGTAACTGTGATATTCTAGTTGTTTTACTCTCCTTTTAAGACATGTTTTTATAATAAACACATATTACATTTCAATGACAATATGTTCTCGTCACGATATGGTTGAAATATTGCCGATGTGACGTTAAATATTAACTCACTCACTCACTTAAAGTATTCTACATTTTATTTTAAATTCTTATCCCACAACAAACCTGGTAACAAATTTCTGGAGAATCCGGTTCATGTCAATTATCTTTGCAAAGTACACCACATCACCTTCAGCCACGACATCAAGGACAATCAAAGTAACACTTCAACACCAGCAACTCTTCAGAATGAAAATGAAAATTGTGGCAGATATATACAAAATATATACATACCGAAGATACACAAATGTAAAGAATATAATGATAAATTGTGCACTGTCACAGTATGTTTGATGTTTTCAGCCATCTAATTGTTTCAAATATAAACAGAAAAGCAGACTGCGCAGTTTTCAGTAATCACCAAAGTGGCTTTCTTTAGTCTGGAAGCACGACCCTGAAACATTAGTGGGGATATTCATGAGAAGTAACGGTAGAATTTAGTTTGGAACTTTGGCTATATTTCATTTGATAAACATCGATGCCCGAAGTACAGTGGGGTGTGATGATGTGCCACAAGGCCTTTTTGCCCTTATTTGCTTAGCATTTCTTCTTGACTCCTTTCAGAAACGACTATTGCATACATATTACTATTTCTGGCTCATTATACACTGGCGGTAAAACAGTATATATTACGTAAGATGTTTACTGCTATGAACGTGCCAACAAATTGCATTCATATTATCATTATCATATACACATCCATAGACGAAAAGCAGAACTACACTGAGGAATCTCCACAACATAAAATTGACATGCTGGAAACATTTGTCAACAGCCGACTTCTCGAGGCCTGCAGGAAGGGGAACCTCAGCCGAGTGAGGCTCATCTTGTCCAAGGGTTTGGTCGACATCAACAGCAGAGACGAGAAGCACGGAAGGACACCCCTAATGGTGGCAGCCCATGGGGGGCATTGCGAAATATTTGACTTTCTTATGAGTAAAGGTGCTAATATGTCAGATGTGGATTATGACTGTAAGAACGTCCTGCACTGGGCATGCAAGGGCGGACATGTGGACATGGTGGAGCGTGTGCTTCCTCAATACGGTGTTGTTAAAGGTAAGGAAATACCCCCTCTTTTACATGCTGCATGGAGTGGATACAGCGACGTTCTGGAGTTTCTCGTGTGTACGGGAAGTAATGTTTCACAAGTTGATGTCAAAGGCAACAACGCCCTGCACTATGCCTCCTTATGCGGACATATGGCTGTGCTGAAGTATATAGTTTCACAAGCCAGTGTTGATGTTAACAGTAGAAATAAAGACGGACTGACCCCTTTGATGATGGCTGCATCAAGTGGAAACAGAGACGTTTTTGACTTCCTCGCAAGTATGGGAGCTAATGCGTCATACGTGGGTGACAATGGGCACAACATCCTTCATCTGGTCTCTTCATATGGACGTATGAAGATAGTGAAGTACATCCTGTCACACAGCCTGGTCGACGTTAACGCCAGAGACAAGTATGGGAAAACGGCAGCCATGATAGCAAAGCGCAAAAGAAAGCTTAACGTGTATAATCTTCTTGTTTCGCGGGGTTGTCCAGTGAAATAAGTAGTGTTGATGTCACGCACCTTGATATGTTGGCGGTACCCATTAGTAGAATGTGGCAATCTTCATTTATGACGTGTCGGTAACAGATATTGATGATCCTATATTATTGCCAAGAACAACTCCAAAACCGTTCAATATCTTTCAACAAAACAATTGTTGTATTAAAAGGACACAAAGACGTTTTTGAGTTCCTCGTGAGCATGGGAGCATGTCACGTGTGGATGATTGGGGCTACAACGCCCTGCACTTTGCCTGCGTAGGTTTAACGCGTGGCTGTTTAAGTATCTAGTTCAACAAGGTAGTGCTAATATTTACAGTAGAAATAAAGACGGACTGACCCCTTTGATGGTGCCTGCTTCATACGGACACAAAGACGTGTTTGACTTCCTCGTAAGTATGGGAGCTAATGTGTCACACGTGGATGATGATGGACACAGCATCCTTCATCTGGCCTCTTCAGGTGGATGTGTGGAGATGGTGAAGGACATCCTGTCACACAATCCGGTCGACATTAACGCCAGGGACAAGTATGGTAAAACGGCAGCCATGATAGCAAAGCATACCCAAAAAAAGATTACCGTCCACAATCTTCTTGTTTCGCAGGGTTGTCCAGTGAAATAAGTGTAGCTTGTGGGTTGATTGATGTCAAGCACCATGATATTTGGCGGTAACTAGTAGTAGAGTGTGACAATCTTCTTTTATGATAATCGGTAATACATTGATGTATTTCATAGACATTGATCATCTTATATTATTGTCAAGAACAACTCCAAAACGGTTCAATACCTTTCAAAACGTGGCACACATATCAAACAGACATTAAAGTGCTGCCTGTTGCTAGTGTATTGTCTTTTCTCCATAGAGTGAGTGAGTGCATTAATATTTAACGCAACATCGGCAATATTTCAGTCATATCGTGACGAGAACATATTTGACATTAAAATGGAATATGTGTATATTATAAACAGCTGTCATCAAAGGACAGTAAAGCAACTAGAGTATCACAGATATATATATGTAAAACTAGTAATTGAATCTAAAACATTTTAACTATAGGGGACAACACAATCTAAAAATGGGCTATAGATCGCTAACAACTGAAGGTAGATCACCATACTAGGGACCATGGGGGCTTACAGTACATTTGCTTCCTGCATGGGCCCTAGCTGGATTTATATCATCCCCTCAGCCATTAGCAATTAGCAATTAAGACATATCTAGCCATACATTAAAATTACAAATATTCTACGATTAAAAAACGGAAAGTTGAAATTTACTTTGAATGTTTTGGGACTTACGTACCCTCTCGGGAGGACAATAATTTTACAGTACTTTAACCCCCCTCGAGGATACAGCCACTAACAATCTATGTTACTAATTCAAACTTCCAATCATAAAATATTTAGCTATTTAGAAAGCTGTTAACAAATTTAATTCTTTTAAAAAAGCAATAATTAAATGAGGACTTATATTAGTAAAAAGATCCTTCATAGTTCGGGATTTGAAATAGATATCCCTTGTGATGGAGTACTCAACACAGTCAAGCAAGACATGCTTGACCGTGATTCGTTCATCACAAGGTATATAAAACGGAGGATCCTCACCTTTTAATAGGTACTCATGCGTATATCTAGTGTGGCCAATACGACATCGTCGCATAATGAGCTCTTCAAATCTGGACTGACAGCCCAAGTAAGTGTAACCGATATAGGGTTTTATTGCATGTAATTTATTGATACCTACTTGGGTGTCCCACTTCTTTTGCATCAGATCACGGATATAAGATCTTATAGCAGCTTTGTAATCAGAGTATGTGATCAGAAGTGGTGTCACAGATTTGTTGAGCCATTGTGTTCCCAGAAATGCCAACGTGGCTGGGTAACCAACAAAAGACGATGTCGCATTGGCCAGTAGCAAGTTCATTGTACAATTCAATAATTTCTAATAAAAGTGGATGTTTACAAGAAAGATTTTTAATAGCCTGAAGACACGAAAGAGAATCTGAAAAGATGATATATTGTATATATTTACGGTGTTTATTAATATATTTAAGAGCTGTTAAGATGGCGTTTGCTTCTGCTGTGAAAATTGAACTGTCATTGGGTAGTCTGGAAGATATTGTTTTGGACCCAATGACAGTGGCACAAGCAACCGCTCCTCCATCCTTGGATCCATCTGTATATAAGGATTTATAGGTATTATATTAATTGACTAAATTCTTGTTTATACTGTAAATCATTAGTTTCTGATTTTTTAAATGTGGTTAATGTTAAGTCAACTTCTGGCCTAACCAATTGCCAAGGAGGAGAAGAAAGAAGACGAGAAGGAGATATATTCTCCAGCTCAATGCCAGCAGCAGAAAGGAATGGTTTAATTTTGTGCCCAAGAGGCGGAACAAGAGAAGGCTTGTTGTTATACAAGACCTCATAAAGAGGATTGAAGACACAGGTAAATGCAGGATTAGATTCGTTTGAATATAGTTTGGTAATATATTGTAAAGATAATTTAATACGGCGTTGGGAAAGAGAAGGCTCATCTGCCTCAACATAGAGACTATCAACTGGAGAGGTTCTAAATGATCCAAGACAGAGTCTTAGACCTTGGTGGTGAACAGAATCAAGTAGTTTAAGGTTGCTTTTGCAGGCTCCACCATATACGATCGAACCATAATCGAGTTTAGATCGTACCAATGATCGGTATAAGTGAAGGAGCGTAGTTTGATCCCCTCCCCACTTTGAACTGGAGACAACCTTTAACAAATCGAGTGCCTTCAGGCATTTAGCTTTAAGGGATTTAATATGTGGCAGGAATGTTAAATGGGAATCGAAAATTAGGCCCAAGAATTTGGTCTCCTTTACAACTTTGATGGGGGTGCCATTTAAAGATAGTTCTGGGTCTGTATGCGGCTTATATTGTCTTCAAAAGTGTAGACAATTAGTTTTGGACTTGGAAAATTTAAAGCCGTTTTCAAGATACCATTTATTTATTTTATTTAAACACAACTGCAATTGCCGTTCAATAGTATGCATATTTTTACCACGACAAGAAATATTAAAATCATCCACAAAAAGTGATCCATCGATTGAATCGTTTAAAACCTTGGATAAACTGTTTATCTTGATACTAAATAAAGTGACAGACAAAATACTGCCTTGAGGGACACCCTGATCCTGATTGTAACAATCAGACAGGGTAGAACCCACGCGAACTTGAAATTGTCTGTCCGTTAAAAACTGTGATATAAAAAGAGGCAAACGGCCTCTCAATCCAAAATCGTGTAAATCTCTTAAAATACCATGTTTCCATGTGGTGTCGTATGCTTTTTCTAAATCGAAAAAGATCGACACTGCATGTTGTTTTTTAATAATGGCATTTTTAACAAAAGATTCTAAACGCACTAAATGATCGATAGTACTTCTGTTTTTACGGAAACCACATTGAATGTCTGTTATGAGGTTATTAGTTTCCAGGTACCACACAAGTCGATTATTTATCATGCGTTCCATGGTCTTGCAAACGCAGCTAGTTAATGAGATTGGTCGATAATTCGAAGGATCAGTATGATCACGTCCAGGTTTAGGGATGGGGACAATAATAGCATCGCGCCATTCTAAGCATGAATCCCGTAAGTGTTTCAGGAGCTGATAATGTATGTTATCAGCACCTGTAGCCGTATCATGAGCTTGATCAAGAGCAGTATGAAGCTCATGAATAGAAAACAGTTCATTGTAATCTTCCCCATTATCTGAAATGAAATTAATAGTTTTCTTCTCCTGTTGTTTTTTTATAATTTTGGAATTGAGGTAGATAGTTCGATGAGGAAGAGTGTTTGGCCAAAGTTTCTCCAAGTTTATTTGCAATATCAGATTTACTAGTTAATAATTCGTCTCCGTCTTTAAGATGCTTAATGCTAGATTTAGAACCCTTACCTTTTATTTTCTGGATCATATTCCATACCTTTGAGATCGGAGTTCGCGAATTTATTTTTGACACATAATTTCGCCAGGATTGACGTTTACTTTACTTGAAGGTACGCCGTGCCTCAGCATTTAAAATTTTAAATTTATTCAAATTATGGACCATAAGATGGCGACGGAAATAATTCTCAGCTTTCTTCCGTGCCTTCCTAGCCTGTTTGCACTCATTGTTGAACCATGGTTTTCGTATGTGTGAAATTGCAGAGGATTTGGGGATACACTCATCAGCAATGTTGATTAGTTCATCAGAGAAATCCTTTATAGGAGCAGGACTTTCTATAAAAAGTTCAGGTTTAAGTCTGCTAGAACACAGAGCTTCATACAAAGGCCAGTTAGCCTTTTTAAAGTTCCATCTTGAAGATGGGGTAATATCAGATGGGTTCACAGGTGATAGAATGGTAGGAAAATGGTCACTTCCACAGAGGTCATCGTGAACTGATCATTCAAAGTCATTCAGTAGGTTTGAATCCGTGATTGATAAATCAAGCGCCGAATAAGTTCCAGTGCCTGGATGTAAATATGTGTTGGAACCATCATTGTATATGCATAAATCATTATCTGAACAGAACTCTTCTAACAGTTTACCTTTAGCATTAGTAGTTGTACCACCCCAAAGTGGGTTGTGACCATTTAAGTCCCCCATAATAATACAGGGTTTTGGCAGTTGGTTATATAGAGTTTGAAGATCAGTCTTCTGAATGACTGAAGATGGTGAGATATACAAAGAGCATAATGTAAATGCAACGTGTAAAGTGAGTCGCACTGCAACTGCTTGAAGATTAGAAGTAAGTGTAATAGGGCTATGGATAACATTCTGTTTGACTAGGAGTGAAGAACCTCCAGTGGCCCTGTCACCCGGAGGTGAGAAAGAATGATAAGCATTGAAATAACGTAGGTCAAAAGGATCTGTCTGCTTTAAATAAGTCTCCAGCAAACAGAATGCTGACGGCATACAATCCTGGACTAATAACAGTAATTCATTATAATTATGCCTTAGTCCTCTGCAATTCCACTGTACAACATTATTGGAATAAACTATCTTTTCGGCGGATGTATTGGGGATCTACCCCGCACTGTTTTGGAGGGCGACAAGCTGTGTGCCCTATATTGGACGTTTTCGGACACGTCCATGTCCTCAAGTGATCCATATTTGTTGTAAAGTTTAATTTTATTTTCAGACCCTTTTGGGGCTCTGCCACTTTGGTTTTTTTTAATAATCAGGCTTAGGTTTAGTCTTGCCTTTAGCAATTTGATGGACAGTAGATAGCGATTGAGACTTTGTGGTTGACTGAGAGGATGCGTCAGGATCAGGAACTTGCTCTGATTGAGTTTGAGACATGCCAGAAAGTGGCTCCGCTGTTTGAGTCGATATTGCACTTGAAAAAATCTGAAGAGAATCGGTTTTTACCCAAGTCAAATTTGTTTGGCAGCTGGAAGATGATTTAGGTATGTTAGGAGTTGCCTCAGATGGTTTTCTGGTTTTTGAAGCATATGTCTCTTGTTGGTCGCATCTTTGTACAACTTGTTTCGCTTCGGCAAAACTAATATTCTGAGT